GGTAAATGGGTAAAATCTTTAAAAAAAAAAAAAAACCCATTTTGTGACTTAATGAAAAGAAGGGCATGGAAGTATGATGGGAGCTGGCTGCAGCAGGGGAGAGACAAAATCCTTATCATGCCAGGAAATAACACTAATGCCTACGATTAAGAAGAAACAGCAGTGTAAGCGTATATTTTAGAGACGTGGCAGTAGCCATCAATAGAAAGAGCTAAAGGGGCGCCTGGGGGGTTTGGTCGGTGAAGCAGCTCTGCCTTCAGCTCAGGTCATGATCTCAGGGTCCTGGGATATAGAGTCCCATGTCAGGCTCCCTGCTCAGTGGGGAGCCTGCTTCTCCTTCTTACCCCACTCTTGTGTTCTCTCTCTCTCAAATAAATAAAATATTTTAAAAAAATAAGAAAAGGGGTGCCTGGGTGGCTCAGATGGTTAAGCGTCTGCCTTCGGCTCAGGTCATGATCCCAGGGTCCTGGGATCGAGTCCCGCATTGGGCTCCCTGCTCAGTGGGGAGCCTACCTCTCTCTCTCTCTTATGAATAAATAAATAAAATCTTTAAAAAAAATTTAAAAATTAAAAATTAAAAAATAATAAATAAGAAAGGAAGGAAGGGAGGGAAGGAGGAAAAAAACAGCTAAAGAACTAAAGTCACCAGCAGGGAGCAGAATGGACCGATAGGGAAAATGAGGCAGGGACAGTTTTTCAAGGCACTGTATGTTAATACCATTTAATTTTTTTAAACCTTACGTATTACTTCAAGAAAATGCAACATATATACATATGTGGACACATTTATTAATATATTTAATATAAGTATACTTGCTCTTAGCATATTAATATACTTGTATTAAACATTCACTCCACAACAGATAACCTGACCTTTGCAATCCTGTGTATCGTAAAGAAAAAAGGGCAAAAAGAGCTTTCTTAACTGACAGCCAATGACTTACAAAAAGCCATTCGTAAATGTCCCATAAAGAAAAACAAATTTCTTCCTCGAGATGATATTATAAAATAGGGATTGGCACAGTTTGAGGTTTTTGGTGTTTTTTTTTTTAAGATTTTTTAAGTAAGGGGAACCTGGGTGGCTCAGTCGTTGGGCGTCTGCCTTTGGCTCAGGTCATGGTCCCAGGGTCCTGGGATCGAGCCCCGCATCGGGCTTCTTTCTCTGTGGGAAGCCTGCTTCTCCCCCTCCCACTCCCCCTGCTTGTGTTCTCGCTCTCTCACTGTGTCTCTGTCAAATAAATAAACTTAAAAATCTTTAAAAAAAAGGATTTTTTTTTTTTTTTAAGTTATCTCCACACCCACCTTGGGGCTCGAACTCACAACCCGGAGATCAAGAGTCACACACTCTATTGACTGAGCTGGCCAGGTGCCCCCCCCAAAGTTCTTCCTCGAGTACCAGAGAGTAAGTATTTCCAGCTTTGCAGACCAAGAGGCAAAGCTGAAGACAGAATATAGGTCCTTATATAATCATTTAAAATCTAAGCATTGGAAACTATAAATACAGTTCTTAGCCCACAGGCCACACAAAAACGAGCAGCAGGTGGGATGTGGCCCATGGGCTGTAACTTGCTGACCCAGGTTATAGAATATTAATTCACCTGCTTTTCTGGTTTTTCTAAATCATACATGATTGTAGGAAAATAGGAAAGAAAGAAAGAAAACCATCTTACTCTCACAACCTAGAGTAAGCGACACTGGCTGATAACATTTTAGTGCATTTCCTTCTAGCAGTTTACCTAAAACACAAAAATGTGTTCACTCATCTGCTTTTTGACACCAGCAACAAGACACAGGAGCGCCTGGGCGGCGAGTCGGTTGAGCATCCGACTCTTGGTTTTGGCTCAGGTCGTGATCTCAGGGCCGTGAGATCGAGCCCGCTGTTGGGCTCCGCATGGAATTTGCTGGAGATTCTCCCTCTCTCTCCCCCTCCCGCCCCTCCCCTCACTCATGCGCGCTCTCAAATAAATAAAGACATCTTTAAAAAAAGAAACAAGACACATAAATCCTATCCAAGATTTGAAGAAACATTTTTTTCCCATTTCTGCTATTTTACACTAACTCAGGGAGAGAGGGGTTAGGCAGACAGGCCAAAGAAGGCTACAAATGTCAGTGAAGGAAAAACACAGACACCAAGAGAGTAGTATCATTTTGGGGGGCGGTGGGCGGGGAGATAGTAAAAAAAAAAAAAAAAAATTCTAAAATAGAATCTGAAAAACACATGTCTGTAGCATGTTATCAAAAGTTTGGATCTCTATGGGTGTTTCTCGTTTCCAGCAGAGAACATTTCTAGCCGGTGGGGCATGTTCAAGGTTACTTCCAAGAGGGGGAAAGTTCCTCTTCCTAGAATAGCGATGCCATCTCGAAGACCGTGCTAGCCCTTGCTGATGCACACCGTGTTGGCTGTCATGGGCTGGGACTCTCCACAGTGTAACCCCCTCAGCCGGCCTCTCCACCTTGCTGTTCTCCATTCCTGACATGCATGTTCCCAGGCTCAGGGACTCTCGCCATGCCATGCTCCCCCGGTAATGAGGTGCAGATCCAACAGTAGCTGCTGCAGACCCACCATCTACAAGCTTCTGGCCTTGCCCACAAAGCTAACTAAGCCAGGACCAGCCAGCCACCCTTCCCTGTTCACAGAAACTCCACTCTTTCCAACTCCTTCTCTTGTCCAGGCCATTCTCCCTGCCTGAAATGCACTTGCTCCCCAACTCCACCTACTAAAGCCTTGCTGTCCGTTCAGAGGAGGTCAAATGCCGCCTCCTTCGGGAAGTCTCCTTTGATTTCCCCCTGCTTCTCCCACATGATCTCCCTCTTCCAAACCCCTCAAGGCCCTAATATCTTTCCCAAGCTCCCATTCTGCCATAGTTCCTTGTGCGCCAGATTATAAGATCCTTGAGGACAGGATTCTGTCATTCCTCTCTGGGTCTTCCTCCCAGCTCAGGGTTGCTCGTATGGTGAGCAGGGAAGAAAGAATTATAAATGAAAGCAAGAGACTCCTGGACCCTGAAATTGCCTTCTTAAAGGAAATCCATCATGCTTCCCTCAACACGAGCAAAAGGAAGCCTCACCTTCAAGTTGCTGCATTGTTCTTTGAATACTGTTCGCAAATTTCTGGATGTTCATTAAAAATTCATCCCGTATCAACTGAATGCTGTGATAGGCTTCCCCGGGCATGTTGGGTAGGTCCACTTCATACTCGAAAGAGTCAGAGATTTCTGCAGATGTGAATCCCAGGGAGGCGTCCTTGTGTTGATTGAAGGACAAAGCCGGCATGAAAACCTGAAGGAAATCACACAATATTGTGTTCAAGATCACGCACTCACGCTGCCTCTGGTGTCGAATGTTCTATCAGACGCAGCACAGTGTAACTACAATGCAGAAACTGCTCAAGTCCAGAGCACAGACCTAGAGAGAGAGAGATGAAAATATTTGACCTAAAATGATCCCAGGGTAAGAATGTGACCCAAGCCCAAGGTGACAACCCAGAAGATAATCCTGCATTTCTTTGGCTGCCACCGGCTGCAAGGCGGCTGGATTTGAAACTACAGCACAAACAAGAGTAGAAGCAGGTGTTAGAGAGTCTGCTTAGCACCAGGCTAGCCCACGGGAGAGTTAAAATAAAGAAGGGCATGGGGGCGCCTGGCTGGCTCAGTCTGTAGAGCGTGCGACTCTTGATCTTGGGGTTGCAAGTTCGAGCCCCATGTGGGGCATAGAGATTACTTAAATAAATAAAGATCTAAAATGAAGGGTCTGAGGACACAGTCCTTTTGATATTTAGCTGAGGACAGAAGCATGCATTTAGGAAGTCACTTGAATATAATAACAAAGCTTCACCCACATAAAAATGATGGAAAAAATGCCCGTGAGTTAGTTGGTTGAGTTTGGGCTTTGGTGTGTAGTTTTGCCTTTTCTTCGGAAACTTGGATCCATGGTTTAAGACAATGTACGTGTACCTCCCATTGACTGAAGAGCCCAGAACGTCTGACCTGTGGTTTCACAGTCTGGATTCTGCCAACCGCACACTCATGGTGACGTTCAAAATGTCCTCTCCCCAGTAAAACATATTCTTGACACTGCCTGCCTCCCACTGCCTCCCCTGATTGAACTCCTGCCTAGGCAACCATCCCCCTCCACAGACTCTTCTACGGCCTCATACTGGTCTTCTCTTCCCTTCAGTGTCTGCCCCCTGCTCCCACGGTCTAAGTTTCACACGACAGCCAGAGGAATGATGCAAACCAGACCATATTATTCCCCTGCTGAACACCTACCTCCCTTTCCAACCTTCCCCACTCCTCTCCAGCCGCACTGGCCTTCCTTCTGTTCCTGGACCAGGCTATGTCTGCTCCTGCCTCAGGACCTTTGCACATGCTCCCTTCTCTGCCCAGGAATTTCTCCCCCCCAGATCTTCACATGTCTAACACCTTTACCTAATTTAGGTCTCAATTCAATGCCACAACCTCAGACGGGCCTTTCCTGACCCCCCTGAGCCCCATCCTATTACACTTCCCTAGGAACTTATCATTAGGAGAATTAGTCTGTTCACAAGGTGTTTTTTTTTTCCATTGTTTGTCTATCAAACACTGCCTCCTCCGTGAGGCCATCCCTTACCACCACTCCCTGCACACACAAACACATGCGTGTGCGCGCACACACAGAGTCCGTTTCTATCACATTACTAGGATTTATTGAACTCATGCCACTTGTCACCGCCTGATATTTTCCAGCTTAGGAATCTGTGTCTCATGTCTTTCCCCCAGTATCAGCTCCTGGAGCACCAAGATCCACTTGGACAACGGCACCTGGGACGCAAGAGCTGCTGAACATTCCTTATGTGTGGAGGAAACGAACCAGACAGCCTGAATCTTACAAAATGCTGAGACCCCTTCCCTTGTCCACGGTTACCTGACATACGACATTCTTCAGAAAGGGAAGCACGTTAGAATTGATAATTCCGTACTCCAGCATCTCGGGCATGATCTCCATGGCTTCCTTCATGTCTGTAGCCTCGGAGATCATCTCTGCGTGGGAACAGACACAGAGGGTAAGTCACGCGGGGAGGTGGCAGGCAGGTAACTCTCCCAAGTACCCGGCGAATCTGCTCCTTCTTCCTGAGTAGCTAACCCAGGAATGTTCCAGGCACAGACTCAAAATGATGCTGACGTCTAGTCAGACAAATCCCTCGGCCCATGAGACACTGAGGGAAACCTGACGTGCTGGGGTCCCCGGGCTCCCACCAGTAGCACAACAGAGCTACCCAGACCAGCGGATAGACACACTCGTGTTTTCTAGAAATGTTTGCTGGGCTCCTTGCTTTGCCTGGATCCCCACTCCTAGCAACGCCTCTCCAGTTCATCGCCAGAGTCCCTTCTGAGTCACGAGTATTTTTAAAGACAGATTTGGTGACAGCCAACCGTTCGGCTGGGTTTTATTTTACACGTCTTTACTCCACCCAAACATCAATGAGCATGGGAGACATTCTGAAGGTCCCTTGGGCCCTTCCCTCAACCTCATTGGGAAACAAAACAGAAACACGACAAATATATCAACCAAGGCAATCATTTCGCTGGCTTCGGACCCACATCTGTGTAGACTTTATCCTCTCCTCACTACGCTTCTGTATATCAAACTCCTCTTTACTCAAATTTAAAGGGAAAGTACGTAAGAACCCAGAATGTGAAAGAAAGAGAGCCTGAGCTCAATGAAAGACGACCATAGAGACACAAGATGATGAGAGTGAGCAGTAATAAAGCCCGAGGGGACGCCGCGGCTGTCCTGCTCACGGCCTGTGCGCCCAAAAACGCCATCCAAGTTCAAAAGAGAAAAAAGAAAGCCACATAATGTTTGCTCTGGAATTTACTGTGAGTCCTAAAACATAGCTTTGCACCGCCTCCACGGAGGCAAAGGCAGAAGGAACGGGGGAAACCGAGGCAGGAAGACTGCGGAGTCAGCACGGATTAAATAAGGCAAGAGGAAGGGCCGGGGGTCAGAAGAGACAGGAGAGTGGCAACCACTGGGAGGCCGGGAGTGTCACCAGAAATGCCCAGGTGGCTCCCAGAATGCAGCAGGAATGCACAGTGGGAACATCCCGCCCAAAAGTTACCCCGAGGAATGAACTTGGTCTCCAAGCAGCTCCTCTGTCTTAAATCACATGGCCACACGGAGAAAGCCCCAGAGCTCATCCTACAACTCAGGATCACATCATTTTGCATCTCTCTCCCTTTAATTGTTACAACAGAACCAAGAATATATTCACACAGCCAGTCCTCATTATTCCTGGTAGTTCTGTTCCGTGAAGTCTCCTCGAACAAGGAATTAACGAATACCCAGCCATTGCTCCTGCAGGACACCCGAGGTTAAGTTCCTGCAGCCTCTGGTCACATTTTCATCAGCCATCAACACATAACCTGGCTTTATTTGTGTTTCTGTTTAAAGACAACTTATCTAATGTGCACGGTTGATTCGTTAACACTGAACTCAGCCTACGCTATAACTCACGCCTGAACTACGCTTCTCTAATTCGCGCTCAGAAACACTGGACGGTGCTCCAGGACTATGCTTGAGGCCATTTTAAACAGTGAAACCACCAACAAAAAGTACCAAAAAATGTGAAAACCACGGCACTAAAGAGATAACAATAAGGACAGTCCACCCTCAGCCAGGAACACACAGATTCAGTGACTCAAATGTTTCCCCATTAAGGGGTGCCTGGCTGGCTTCATCACTGTAACATGCAATGCTTGATCTCGGGGTCGTGAGTTCAAGCCCCACGTTGGGTGTAAAGATTTCTTAAAAAACAAAATCTTAAAAAAAAAAAGTCAAATGTTTCCCCATGCCATGCACATCCACGAATGACCTCAAGGCTCGGCAAGGATTGATTTGGGGGTTATGAAAACGCGTGAGCAAGTAGGTGAATTCACAAATAGGGAACCCACGAGTAATGAGGATTGGCTGGCCTGGGAAAAAAAGAAAAAGGTTGTATTCTCAAGAAAGTGTAAAAATTAAGAATCTCACAGATACACACCCAGGGGCATACTCACCCACACGCATGCACACACACTAGAAATATACCTTTTGTATTTCTGAGAAAATACACCACATTCTGGTCCAGAAACTCCTCAGGAACAGGAGTACACAGCACATAGAGATGGGTCTTATCCACAATGTGCTTAACAGTTCTCTGAAACATGGGGGACAAAAAAACATCAGGCTGAGAGACACTCACTCACCCAGACAAGCTAGCGTTCAGGCCCACCTGAGCCCTCCTCTCTGTGCCTTCTGAACTCCCGGCTGACAAAGGGCCCTAGCACGTGCACGACAAGGCAGCCAGACTTGAGCACTCAGCCTGACTCTTCTATTAACTGGCTGATGCAGCCACACTTGACCTGGGAAGTCCAGACAGAGCTTTCCGAGGCTGTAAATTGCAACAAACGGGCTTGAATTTGGTTTCGGGGGTGGGGTATATTCATGGAGCCGATCAGAGTAATTTCATTTAGCACAGGCCAGACTCGATGCTTACATCCTGGCTTTAAGCTCCACCTCTGGGATTTGTGAAATAAAAGGTTAACTCAGCAGGCCTGGGTTGTCCAAACTCGGTGTGTTCCAAAGGTTTTCAAGCTGGCCCTTCACAGGCTCCTGGGTGATCACCTCTGTTTTTGAAAAGCCTACCTGATGTGAGTGTCTTTGTATACCTGGGGCCTTGGGTCATGCCAGGTCGTTTATACTAGCAACATGATGGGTGGTGAATGGCTGTTTCTGTTTGCCTGGGGCCCCGGTCACCTTATATCAGTTTGACTTCCTGCAGGCTAGAGACCGGCCCTTCACACCCATAGATGCTCCGTAGAAACTCTGGACTCCAAGGCTTGGGTGGGCTTCCTTGACTTCCTATGTGTTCTCGCACATACTTGCTGGGAGAAATAGCACATCCAGGCCACGCTACCGGGAGCTCGGGCCCCTTTTCCTCCCGGACTCTGCCATACATACCTTTTTCTTTGATTCTACTCTGCATCCTCTCACTGCAATAAACTGTAACCACGAGTATAAAAGTTTTTCTGGGTCCTGTGAGTCAGCCTAGCAAATCATTCAATCTGAGGGTAGTTGTGGGGACTCCCAACACAGGAGTCCATCATCTCTACTCCAAATAGGTTCCCTCAAATATGAAAGTCAGTTACACAGACTCATCAGAGGGGAGGGAATTCCCATTACCCCACCAAGGAGGAGAAAGAGCCGAAAGTACCTTGACGGGGAAGTCTTCTAAACTCTCTTCGCCCGCTTCTTCATTCTCTATGTCGATTATAGGCTGATTTACAGAATCGTTTCTCACCTGCAAATTCTTGGCTGCAAAACATTATTCAGTGTGCAAACTGAAATAAGCAGAAAAGTAGATTTCCTGCCATCAAGACCAGACCCGCATCTTGTACAACAGCATATTTCATTCAACAGACGTGTTACCCAAAAGCTATACATACATTTTTTACAAATGAATCCCATCAGAGTCTTGATGTACGTTATAATGGCGAAAGTTCTTTGTATTTCTGATGGGTGGGTTCTCAGCCGGAAATTTAATGTGTATGCGTGTGTGTGTGCGCACACGCGTGTGCATGTCCCAGCTACCGTGTGCAATGTGTGACTTCTCAGAGATTTTCACTTTAAAAGGGAGTTTTATTATTAGGACGAGAATGATAGCTCACATATTAGCATTTATTCTATTTTCTCTATGAAACTCGAAACTGGTGGGGGATGAAAATAAATCTAAACAAAATGAATGTGTATCTCTCAAGTCTACTCTTACCGATACAGATCTGGAAACCTCAGAGCCTGTCGGTCACAGCCCTGGGAGTTACTGACGAGTCCAGTGATCACACAGAAGGGAGAGCTTTCCCCAAAACGGTTTGGCTCTTAGTGCAAAAGGCGCCACATGACCCCAGGGTGGCTTGGGAATCAAATCAGTGTGTGGGGTCTCCTGGTCTACTTTTGGTTTTCTCATCCATAAAATGGGGACAATAACATCTAGTGGTGAGACTCTGGAGAATTCAGTGGTGGTGTGGTTCCGTGCCTGGCACAGTGACGGCCTGAGGCCAAAAACACACTTACAAATGCACCAAATGAGTGTAGCTGTACTCCTAGACTTGGTTCAAATGGTTAAGTTTTAGGTTATGTATATTTTACCACAATAAAAAGAAAAAAATGCACTTGAATATCCACTTGGAAGTAACGTTAATTTGCTTTGTCGAGAAGACCTCCCTGACTTTTCTCCCCAAGCAGCCTCCTTCCACGGAGTTCTTTCCCGTCCAGAGACTGACTGGTGTGTCTTCGTGGAACATCGCAGGAAGTGTGGCTGTGGCCTTCATCCCCACCGTCTGTCTTATCGAAATTCAGCCTAGCTAGCCTTTCTGAGAATGAACGGACAACCTCTCTTTCTGACCTCACAGTCCTCTCCCTCCGATCTGTAACCACATTGTGGATAAAAACGAATGCTTCTGAAGAGAGGAGGAGGACTAGCAGAGACAGAGCCCATCGCCAAAAAACCCCTTTTCCCTCTGATTTTCAAATATTCGGTATCTTTCAAAAGTGAAGTGTCTAACCTACAGCTTCTGCTTCTTGTAAGGGCAGGTGAATCACGGGGTAAGTGTGGCATGGGGGCCGTTTAGCTCTGCTGGGGACGTGCATGGCCCGGAACACGGTCTTCTCAGTCTCGGCCCCACTGGTGTTTGAGGTTGAATCATTCTTTGTTGCGGGCACTGTCCTGTGCGTTTTAAGATGTTCAGTGGCATCCCTGGCCTCTCCCCTCCAGATGCCGGCAGCACCCACCCTCCAGTCGTGACAACTAAAATGTCTCCAGACATCACCAAATGCCCCATGGGGGCCCAAGTCACCCCTGGCTAAGAATGCTGCCCCCGATAGAGGGCCAACAGACCCATGAAAAGATGTTCAACATCACTCAGCCTCAGGGAAATGCAAATCAAAGCCACAGTGAGATACCTCCTCACACCTGTCAGACTGGCTACAATTAAAAACACATTGGCGAGGATGTGAAGAAAAGGAACCCTCGTGCACTGCTGGTGGGAATGCAAACTGGTTTAGCCACTCTGGAAAACAGTATGGAGGGTCCTCAAAAAGTTAAAAATAAATCAGAGAGGGAGACAAACCATAAGAGACTCTTAACTCTAGGAAACAAACTGAGGGTTGCTGGAGGGGAGAGGGGTGGGGGATGGAGTAACTGGGTGATGGACATTAAGGAGGGTACGTGATATGTGTACTGGGTATTATATAAGACTGATGAATCACTGACCTCTACCTCTGAGACTAATAATACATTATATGTTAATTAATTGATTTTAAACAAACAAAAAGAACTACCCTACAATCCAGCCATTGCACTACTGGGCATTTACCCAAAGAATACAAGAACACTAATTCAAAAGGATACATGCACTCCTAGTAGCATTATCTACAATAACCAAATTATGGAAGCAGCCCAAGTGTCCATCGACAGATGAATGGATAAAGATGTGGTATATATACACGATGGAATATTACTCAGCCATAGAAAAGAATGAAATTTTGCCATTTGCAACAATATGGATGGAGCCAGAGAGTAGAAGGCTAAGTGAAATAAGTCAGAGAAAGACAAATACCTTATGATCTCACTCATATGTGGAATTTAAAAAGCAAAACAAATGAACAAAGGGAAAAGAGAGAGAGAAACCAAGAAACAGACTCTTAACTATAGAGAACACTCTGATGGTTATCAGAGGGGGGGCAGGTGCGGGGACAGGGGAAACAGATGATGGGGATGAAGGAGGGCACGTGTCCTGAGGAGCACCAGGTGATGTATGGAGGTTCCAAATCAATATATTGTACACCTGACACTAATATAACACTATACTGAAATTAAAAGTTTAAAAACTTAATACATGCAACTGCCCGCCCCCAAAAAGGGTAAAATAAAAAGTTTCAGGAATGAGGACAAAAAGAAAGCTCAGTTAGATAAATAGTAGAAATACACTAGAAATAAAATGAAATCGTTCAACAACAAAAAAAGAAAGAAAAAGAAAAGGTGAGGCGGGAGAACTGGGTCAAAGCCTGAAGCTGAAGCCACCGCACCCCTAGACGAGACACAGAGCCTGCAAAGGCCCAGCAGGTCGGGCCGCTCAGGGGTACTTAGAGCAACTTCTCCAGCTCGGACGTGTCCGCTGAGGAGCAGTGAAAGCCTCCAGTCGAGCCTCAGATCAGCCCAAAGCAGCGGCGCGTGTGGTTGGCACAACGGGAAGGAAGCCGCGGCTACACAACAGAGCGCCCACCGCGGGGCGAGAGCTCCCAGACGCGGCTTGCACAGGACTGGGGGGTCCGGGCCCTGCACTGTACTGGGTGGAAGAGTGCGCCCCCCCCCGAAGTCACGCCGCCCAGACCCTCAGAAGGGGACGCTATTTGGAAAGAGGGTCTTTGCGGATGTGAAAGAGGAGGTCATGGAGAGGGCAGCCCCTAAATCCGGTGGCTGTCGCCTTTACAAGAGTAAGGACAGGAAGATTCTGGGCCCCACGGAGGCAGAGCCACGAGGGATGCGCGTGCAAGTCAAGAGAGGCCCCGGCCCGAGGGGCAAGGCAGGTGCTCCCCGGGAACCTGCCCACCCCCGCACGGCCCACTGGGGCCTCAGGGCTGAGGGCGGACAGCCAGCACCCCGCTCGGTACCCCACACCGGTCCCCTCCCCCCCAGTCGCGGAGGAGCCCCACCCCTCACCTGACTCACGCCCCGACTCTACTTTCTGAGCGTCCTCCTCTTCCTCCTCGCCTTCCTCCTCGGTCGCCACCGGCACGTCGCCCTCTTGACCGCCTCGAGCATGGAAGAAAAAAGTAACACGTGGCTGTCCCACCACACGAGACACGTGAGGCCACTGCTCTGCGACAGTCCCCCGGGCAAGGTCAGGGCGAGGACGCGGGAGCCCCTTCCCCTCCCGCCCCTCGCGACCCCGCCCCGCACCCTAAGACGCTGGAGGGCGGGGGAGACCTGCTCCTCTCGCGTTAAGACGGGCCTCGGGTGCGAGTTCCGGGCTTGTTACACCTGCCACCTGCCCATCTGGAGCCTTCTGCCTCCTTGCTCCTCCTTCCCTGCCCTCCTGCACTGGCGCCAATTTCTGAACCAATAGTCACACCGGAATGTTCCAGTTACCCCAGACAACTTTAAGTGGCACCAAAGGAAGATCTGTGCAAATTCCCCAGGAGATGAAGGTCAAGGTCGCAGAATGATCAGATGGTTCCACCAGCCCCAGGAAATATAAGTGATCAACAAGCATAAAAAAGAGGCTCAACTCCACTGATTATTATTTAAAATGTAATATAGGGGACACCTGGGTGGCTCAGCCCATTAAGGGTCTGCCTTGGGCTCAGGTCATGATCCCAGCGTCCTGGGATCAAGCTCCAGGTGGAGCCCCGCACTCAGCAGGGAGTCCGCACCAGGATTCTCTCTCTCCCTTTGCCCCTCCCCCACTGCACGCTCCCTCTCTTTCTCTCTCCCCCCGCCAAAATAAATAATTCTTTTAAAAAATGTACTATAGATTAAGCAAGTGCAGCCCCCTTTCATCTATGGGATTGGCAGATATTAAAAAGACTGACAATATCCAATGTTGGCAGGACTGTTGGCTAACAGGCACCTGGCCACTGTTGGGTGTGGGCCAGGAGGCCCTTTCTCCAGAGCAGTCTGGCAGCCTATCCATCGTGTAAATGCACACACCTAGGAAACCAGCAATTCTGCTTTTATAAACCTCTCCCACAGAAATACACAGGGTGCAAAGACGGATGTGCATTGTTACCTTGTTTGTGAAAAAACTACTATGGAAAGGTAAATAAATGTTCATTAATTAGGGAATGGATAAAATGTGGTATATCAATGTACTTAAAAACCTATAAAGCTAGGTAGTTCTATAGGTATTGACATGAAAAATTCTCAAGATGCATTTGAGGGAGACAAGTCACAAAATAATATATATAGTATGACTGATTTTAGAAACTTATTATATAGAGAAGATATAGATGATTGATTGATTGACTGATTGATTCAGGGAAAGATCTGGCAGGATACACGACAAACTAACAATAGTGGTTACCTACAGGAATGGGAGTAGGACTTAAGGGATAGTGAAGGCTTGCTTTTTCACTTTTTACTTTGTATAATTCTATGTCATGTGAATTTTTAAGAGAATGCCCTTCAGTAATACTTAGTGTCATTTTTTAAAATTTAAGTGAGTCATTACATGACATATACAGCCTGATTCCATTTTATTTTAAGAAATACACACTTACCAATTGAACAGCATCTTGGGCTGGCTGCTCCTAGTTACAGACACCCCTCTTTCCTACCACCACCCCCACCAGCATCTATTTGTCTCCATTCATGTAATTTTTAACTGGGAGCAGAGAGAAATCTTAACTGGGGGCAAGGACAGAAATAGAAAAGAGGGATGGTGGGGAGCCTGGGTGGCTCAGTTGGTTAAGTGACTGCCCTCAGCTCAGGTCATGATCTCAGGGTCCTGGGATCGGGCCCCGCATCGGGCTCCCTGCTCCGAGGGAAGCCTGCTTCTCCCTCTGACCCTCCCCCTGCTTGTGTTCCCTCTCTCGCTGTCTCTGTCAATTAAATAAATAAATAAAATCTTTAAAAAAAGAAAAGAGGGATGGAGGGGCATGCACTGGCCCCACTCCAGGTCCTGTGAACAGACCAGAGCGCCATAAAGGATCCAATAAAACTTCCCAAGTGTCTTCATAAGCAGAGAGTGACAGTGTGAGCCACAGAGCTGGGGAGAAGGCCGCCCTCCCCACCTCTGTCTAGAACCCAACACCATTCTGGTGACTCCAGGATCGGCAGCTGTGAGTCTCTAGGGACAGGATGCTCAGCGGGGGATGCGTTGGCATCCTCATGACGTGGTGACGGTGGAGAGGAGCCAGAAAAGGAGGGAAAGAACGGGGAAGCGAGTCAGAGACAGCACAGAAACAGGTCACAGTCCAAGGCAGACTTCCGAGTACCCTTTCGAGGGTCCAGGAATGACCCCGGGGACTGAAATCTGCTTCCACAAAGAACAGGGACATCCAGCCGGGGGACACTGGGCTAAACAGGTGTCAGGGTACGCCGCTCGGAAAGCAGCCGCCGAACTGCAGGAAGTCCGGGCCGCGTCGGGGAGGCTCACCGATCTCCACCTCCACCTCTTCGGGCACCACCTTGCGGTAAAAGAAGAGCGTCAAGGCGCCCTCCTCATCACTGGTCTGGTTGAGGAAGTGCAGGATGAGGTCCTCGACCTCGCCGTCGTTGCGGTTGAGCAGCTCCTCGAAGAGCCGGGGGTCTGTGATGCCGAAGGCCGCGTACACGCGGTCGCGCATCCACAGCACCCGCAGGTCGTCCATGGCGCCGCGCAGGGCCCGATGGCGCCCTAGGAGCCCAGCGACGGGCGGCGTCCGTGGCAACGACGCCCCTGGCAACGGGCGCCCCGGCAACGGCCACCCGGCGCGCGTCC